GTTTAGGGCTTGGGGGCTAAGGGTTTAGGGGTTTAGGGTTTAGGGGCTTAGGGGCTTAGGGGCTTAGGGTTTAGGGTTTAGGGTTTAGGGTTTAGGGATTTAGGGGATTAGGGTTTGGGGGTTTAGGGCGACTTTACAATGTAGGGGCACGAGCTTCTATCCCAGAGCGTCCGAGTATGTGGACCCTTTGGACGTGCTAATTCTGGGACATCCGTCCCCTTCCAGTCTCGAGGCAGAGCGGTCAAACCCGTGGGGCCGGCAGGAACCGTGCTGGCGTCGGGCAGCAAGTTCTTAGACTGGAGGAAATCGAGGGCCGTACGGATATTGGTCAGCACGGATTTCTGATCGTCCTCGGTGGAATCCATGAGAATGTCATCATCCGGCACCGCCCTTTTTTGGGAGTCGTCTTGGCCGGTGGGGCCTTGCCACCGGACTGCCTGGAAGGCCGACGCGACATGAAGCCCACAATGGCGACCCTTTGCTGATGTAAAGGCCTTCAGAACTAAGATAGGGTTTTGGGCTCCTTTATAGTCTTATTATAATAGGGAACCCTAACAGTAATATTGGTGATTATTTAGGTTTCTATATTCGCCCATAGAACCCTAAACCCAGAACTAAACCCTGAAGAGACTTGAACTCCAAGATCCCCCACGCTGAAACCGCAAAAACCTGCCGGATTAGTGCTCGCATAGGATATAGGGTTAGGGCTTAAGGTTTAGGATTTAGGGTTAGGGTTTAGAGCTTGGGGCTTAGGGTTAGGGTGTTGGAGCTTAGGATATAAGGTTAGGGTTTAGAGCTTAGGGCTTAGGGTTAGGGTTTAGAGCTTAGGATTTAGGGTTAGGGTTTAGAGTTGAGGGCTTAGGGTTGAGGGTTTCAGGTGTAGGGTCGCAGTTCAAACTTTTCTGAATCACCAGATTGCTTGTGCCGTGGTCCGCAAGACTCCGGCGCAATGCTTGATGCTTCCATCAACGCTGCGGTTGTGCTGTCACTGGTGAAGTAGGCTTAAAGTCTTGAGTTTAGGGCTTTAGGGTTTAGGGCTTCCGGCTGCAAGCTTGCCAGGCCACTTCACCTTGTCAATGCCAGAGTATTTCAGACATGATCGAAGTTCACGGCCCTGTATACACCGCGAAATCTAGAACACGGAAGCTCCAAGATTCGCTCCCATGCAGTTTTGGGGGCCCATTATACTATAATTATAAGAAGGAGCCCCAAAATAGTATTGGTAATTATTCTTGTTATTATTATTATTGCTATTATATTATTATTGTTATTATTATTACTATTATTAAGGCCCCTACACTATGAGCTATGCACGAGTGAAACCAGCTCGCCTTTTGGTTCAGGGGGCCTGTCCCAAAGTGCGCCGAGAGGACTCCATTCAACAATGCACTGACGGTTTAGGGTTTAGGGTTTAAGGTTTAAGGTTTAGTGTTTAGGGTTTAAGGTTTAGGGTTAAGGGTTTAGGGTTTAGGGTGCGTTGAGAAAGAATGGTCGTAGATGGTCGTAGGTAACTTAGCTGGGTAGTTTGACAGTTTGACTACCCTGCACGTGTGCAATATGCACCTGCCTGAACAGCTTATGTTAGACCCTGAACCCTGACTATTTCACTCCGAGGACGGTCCATGTGAAGGACACTCTCGAAACCGCAAAACCTGAATTGCGCAGCTCTAGACTCTAAACTCTAAGTGTAAGCCACAAGCCTCACTGAACACTGTTTTTAGCAACGTACTTTGGGATTCGAGGGCTTCCTGTTGTTCTGAGCTACGGTTGTCTCTGTTGCCCTCTGGGGATCAGCTTGCGCCCGAAGGCTCCAACGCAGAACGACCCTCAACCTTACTCCCCAAGCATATAACCCCTAAACACTAAACCCCTAATTAAACCCTAAACTCCGACACCCGTAAACTCCTGCACCCCTAAACCCTAAACCCCTAAACCCTATAAACCCTCAACCCTAGGGTTCGGGCACATGTCGCCCAAACCCCCAAAACTGATAGCTCAAGAGCTTATGGTGCAGGGTTCCGGGCAGCATTAACGAAGATCATTATTTGCAACAAAAGTAATACTTAAGAGCAAAACAACAGCAACCATCATCATAAATTATACAATAGTACTATCAGAATGTTAGCGTTCTGACAGCAGTATTGTACAGCTGGGTATGATGGTTGTTGTTTTGTCTTTAAATATTACTGCTGTTACTATTCGTTATGATGAACATACTTAAATACACTTATACATAGTTTTGTTAATGCATTACACCGCATATTTATATATATATATAGAGAGATATAGATATAGATATAG